AGAAGCAAATTTTAGGAAGCATAGTTGACCCTGGAAATTCTCTCTTTTAAAAAGAAAAGTTTTAATTAATTCTTTGAGAATTTCCTTCACTAACTCCTTACAAATCTACCCCTACCTTTCTAACCCCCAGCTTCACACCCCTTTTTATTTTTAAAATGACCCACTGACTCCAGTTTCTGCTGTCTGTGTACTCCTGGGTGTGGGGCCATCCACTGGAATATGCTGGATCCAGCAGAAGCTGGACTCTTAAAGAAAACTGACTCTCTATCCCCTAGAAGCCATCAGTTGTCCATAGCTCCTCATTAGTGCTGGGGGGCTCATGCACCCTTTCCCACTTCAAAATTCTTTCATTTATAGACAAAAAAGTTGTAAATGGAAAGCTGCCACTCATTTGAAGTCACAGAGGATCCCACTCTGAGATGTAGACATGAAAGCTGGAAAGGAACTTCAAGATCTCTGGTGCAGCTCTTTGTCTTGCTGACAGGTGTAAAGGGGGGCAATCACACACCTAAGGGAACCAGGACTGGGCTGGAGGAATGTGGGTGACTTGAGGAGGTGGTGGCTTAGCTCTCATCCCAATCTGTGACACTAAACTCCATTGTCTACTATCAAGAAGTTCTAATTTTTACCTACTATCATTTTGTCTCAGTATAATCTATACACTGCTCTTAAGATGTCTAGGCTTATTTACTATACAGTAATTGACACCCCCCTCTGCATCGTGAGTGTGGGCCTGCCTCTTCTCTCTCACTAACAGGCAAGCCCCACAGTGTGCTAAGAATCTATCTGACCTGGAGACGGGACACCCTTCTTGCTATGGGTGGGGAATGCCATGGCAGGGCCTTCCTAGTTTTCCTTAACAGATCTCCTCCTCTTCCTTCCTTCTTCTTCCTTCTCTCACTCATCTAACTCTGGCTGGCCTGCAATTCACTCTGTAGACCAGAGTAGCCTGGAAGTCACAGAGACCTGCTTGCCTCTGCCTCCTGAGCTTGGGGATTATTGTTTTGTTTTCTCCCATCTTTTTCCTGTCTTCCATCTTTTCTTTCTCTGTTGCATCTTTTCCCTCCTATGTCTACCACAAGACTCATGGGACTTGGTGCCAAAGCCATAGTCCATCCTGCACATCACTGAAAGCAAATGTGCTCATTCACTGACTAGCTTCACTGGGCTTTGAATATGAGGCCTGCAGTGTGTCCAACTCTACACTGCTCCTTTTAACCTTCACAACTTCTTGCCTGTCCAGTGATTGCCATCATTACATGCATCATACACGAAAGAAATTGAGTCCCATGCAAGGTAACGAACTTATATAGCCAGTACATGACTCCATTGAAGGCTGATTCCACACTATTTTAGAGTAGAAGGCATGTATGTTACTTACCAAGAGAAGCAGTTCTTCTGTATTTGATCTTTGATTCAAGTTGACTTGAACTTTCCAAATTTGAGGGGCTACGGAGGCCTGTGAGTGGACACAGCCATCTTTGGGTAGATGAACACAGCCATCTTTGGGCAGATGAACACCTGTGGGCCAACTCATAAATTTAGAAGGAAGGTCCTTGAAAGCTAAGCCAGCCTTTTGGCTGTCTGCTTTGTACTGGTTTCCTAGCTCTACCCTAACAAGGCGCCAAACACTGGGGCTTAAAACAATAGGAAGTTACCCTCTCACAGTTCTGAAGGCTAGAAGTCTTAAGCAAAGAGGTATTGGTTGGGTTGGTTTCCTCGAGATACTTTGAGGGAGAAGCCATTTCATACCTCTTTCCCAGGCTTTGGTTGCTTCAGGCAGTCCTTAGGCTTCCCTGACATGCCGCTGTGTTACTCCAGTCTGTCTCCACAGTGACAGGGTGCACTCTCTGCATGTCTCCACATCATTCATCTCTTTCTCTCTATAAAGAAGCCAAACATTGGGTTTAGGACTCATTTGGATCCAGTATTGTGGAAAGCATGGGCCTATGGGTTGTAAGGCTCTCCTCAGTTAGGATGTCCACATAAGATATGTCTTTTTAATATGCTTTATCCACACAAACATTCCTTATAGTATCATGCTAATATACAAGTTAAGCAGACATCTCACCAGGCAGGAAACACTTGTTTGGGCAGAAATGCTGCTGCAGGATTCCACTGGGGAATCTTCTTTGGTGAGGATGCTTTGGAAACTTTCAGGCTCAACCCAAGTCTGCAGTGACGGTCTTCAGCTGTGGCAGCTTGGGAGACTGGCGTTGATGGAGGTTCAGGAGGTCCTTGAGAATGTAGGCCAACAGCTAGTGCTGACAGATGGGCCTATGTGGGCCCAGCGACTGTGGGAAGTTCAACAGCAATCGAAGTCAGGGCCACACAGAGTCTCAAGTCCCCTTGCTGATGAATAGCAACACAAAAGCTAGAGAAGCCATGTCTCAGGAGCATTGCAAAGTGATCCTAGAGACCATTCCCAAAGTTCCAATTTTTGTATCATTTTATTGGCAGTAGCTTTGTGCTATCAAGGCTCACAGCTTGAGGCTGATTCACTAGCCTATCAACACCACCACCTTGGGGTTAGTTCATTAGTATATCAAGGTTTGTCCTGGGCTTAGGTCCTATCTGAGTTGCTTGGTGACCTGCCAGGGGCTTGCTTCTGAGGCTTAGGTCTTATTAGATCTACTTAGTGACAAGCTTAGGCATCATACTATTTTAAGTCACACAAAATGGTTTTTAAGTTATGTTCCTAACAAGTACGGTCTCATCTTTGATATGACCTCCACCCACTTTATCCAAATAGTTATTGCATAATTATAATATAATGCCAAAACTAAGCATTTGACATTGGCGCAATGTGTGTATATAACTCTAAACCATTTTATCACATATCTAGATGTATATAACCACTACTGAAATCAAGACAGTGATTCCATGACCATGATAGTCACATCTGCTTTCTTGTCCCTACTATCCCTAGCTCTTAGGAATCTGTGATCTGTTCTCCTCTTTAATAGTGTAATTTCAAGAATGTTAAATAAAAAGTATATGGCATGGGGCATTAGACTAGTTTTTTTTTCCACTAAGCACAAGGATGCTCAGAATTATCTCAGAGCTTATATATATATCCTTCCTCCCTTTATATTGAGGGCACTGTTGTAGTTAAGACTTGAGCTTATGTATTTTTGAGGAGCATGATTCAACATACAACATTTATTTTCTCTTGTTTGGGTCCTGATGAGTCTGGCTTCAGAATCTTGCCTCAGAAGAGGCTTGCTTTTCATTCATAGCCAGATTAGAGGTGTTGTTGATTGCTAAATTTGGTTCACAGAAATGGGTGAACAAGTTCATGTTATTTGAAAAGACATATTAAGTAAAAAACAAAACAAAACTCAAAACCTCTAAAGTTTCAAGAAGTGGATAGTAATGAATATTCTCAAGCAGTAGAAAGGCAAAGTGTTTCCCTATCTGATTGGGTGACTGTCCTTTCTCTTCATTTTAGAGCCGATTGAGAAAGAGGAGGAGTAGGAAAACTAGACTTGTACTAACTGAGGGGTGGGATACTATCTTAATTATTTCTCTATCCCCTTCAGAGTGTAGGCTGAGAAGGTGCTTAGTAAATGTGTGTTGAGTGGATGAACTCATGAGGGACTAAACCCAGGCATCTCCAGGAAGAGGGGGAGAGTGAAAGTGTTATGTATCCTCTTCCTTCCCAAACATAACCTTTGATACACGGCCTCTTCATACCTGGACAAAATTATTTATATGCCTTGACCCATTGCTGAAGGTCTCCTCCATCCCATTTTTATACATGGATGTTTCTAGTTTGATGGGTGGAGGAGGACACCCCAAGGAAGTATCACGTGTTTGACTCACTACAGTCTGAGTTCTGGAAGGTAGAATAACAGAGGGCACAAGAGAGCAGATTTAGGAATGTGGACATTTGATCCTGGATCTCCCATTAGTGTCTTTCTGGCCTTGACCTGTGGTCCGTTCCTTCTATCCTTTCTTCTCTGTGCACTGGGTATTAGCTATTTCTTTATGTGAAGTTATTAAGAAAGAACATAGATTCCAACACCACAATATTAATTTTCACAAAGTGACGCAGCCCACACCGAGACACAGAACATGCTCCAATCTCCAGAATTCCCTTCTTGTTATGTCATAACTTATCCCACCTCCACCAATGTGTCTTCCAAATCTTATTTTTTTTGTCTCTTTGGTTTTTTTTGCTTAATATCGTGTTTATGAGATTAAACTAGGTTGTTGGTTTAGTTGTACCTCACTAATTCTTTATTGAGTAGCAGCTCATTTGTGAACATACCAAAATTTAACTGTTGGTGGACATTTTGGTTGTTTCCAGTTTTAGGCTTTCATAAATGAGTCTCTGAACATGGATTGCTGCTTAAGGTTTCCTTCTGGTGTATAGAGACAGGCATGTAAGAGTGGTATGGCCAAAAATAATGATGACCACCTCTCAGCTTTATGGAACCTTTCCATAATTTTGATGAACATGTTTAATCTCACGGTATAGTGAGTTTTGAAGTAGGCTGTGGACAGTGCCCAGCATTGCCGATGGCAATAGGAGTCTACCCATGTTTAAGAACACAATGAAGGCGTAAGAGCTCGTGATGCTCAGGTGCTATGCTGGCCACAATCCTTTCCCTATTGCTTATTCCTTTAGGTTCTCTCCACTCCCTGGGGCAAAGGCTCTCCATTGTTTTGTCAAGTTTTCAGGGTAGGCTGAATCAGATCACAGAATATGTGCTTGTAAGAACTATCCCCTTCTGGACTTTGAGGACTTAAGAGAGGAAAACTAGGAACCTCTTCCAACCCACCATGGCCCAGAAGGGTGAGATGTGAATAGTACTTGTGAACCTTAGAGAGGGCCGTCACATAGAGGACAGCCACACAGGGCAGACGGAGGATTTTATTTATGTTTTAAGTGGCATGGATTTCAGGGTAACTAAATATTTAACTTTGTTAGAGGAGAAACCAGGTAACTAGAAAAAAGCAACTGTTAACAGTTAATAAGAGAGGAGACAAAGATCTCAAGTGCCAAGATTCACTTTATTCAATATCTTCCCCAAATATTAGCAGGATAAAAGCCAAGGAGAGGGAGGGGTTGGAGTGGGGAGGGGATTTGGAGGACTGCAACAGTGGTAGGTCATCTATGGAGAAAGCTCCAAGACCTTAGGAGGGAAGACTGAGGATGGTCCCAGAGAGCAGGGTCCCAGGGAGCAGGTGGTGGTGACTCAGGACCTGTGGCTCTAACACTCATCCTTCTTGAAGCTCTTGACGATGGCTGTAGATGACGTCTTATGGGTGACCTCACAGGCATACAAGTTATGACTCTCATACTCTGCTTTGGTCAACGTGAGGGTGCTGCTCATGCTGTAGGTGTTGTCTTTGCTGTCCTGATCGGTCACACTGCTCACAACTCCATTTCGTTGCTCACTGCCATCTACTACCCACTTGACTTTGGCGTCGTTGGGGTAGAAGTTGTTCAGGAAGCACACGACTGAGGCACTTCCATCCTGTAACTGCTCTTTGGATGGTGGGAAGATGGAGACAGTTGGCTTAGCATCAGCCCCTGAGGAAGGAAACACAGAGGATATATGAAGTAACAGGGAAAGTCTCTCCTTGGGTGCATTGTGTGTGGACAGTCACATGCATTGTAGACAGACACACAGAAAAGCACACTTCTCCTTCAGACTAGGAGCAGTGAATCCAGGAAGTACACATATACAATCTTGTTGGTTTTGAGTTATTCCCTAATTCCCGGCTACTTCTTTGGAAAGCAAATTGCATCTGACCCTTTGAAGCTATTTCCAGACTTCTTTCTATACCTATCTTCCCTGAAACTGTGTTTCCCATCAGCTGCAATGGTTGTGTGCTTCAGAGAGAGAAAAAACAGGTCAGTTTACCTGACATCCCTGGTGTTTGGGAGTCTGAACACACAAACACCTAAGGTAGGAGCAGAAGGTTGGTTTTCATTTTCTCCTGCCTCTTTCAAGAATACTCTGATTTCAACTTCTCTATGGCTTCCTTTAGAGTGGCCAAGCTAGGGACCCACCCTATGGATGGGGCCTTGAGCCAGGGTCTATGTTTAGGTGCATGTTCAGCAACTCTCTCAGCTCTCACCAAGGCCTCCAGGTGAGACCTGGGCCCTGGTCTGATGGCCTGTAACCACATGGGGCAATTTTTAGCCACCCCAGAAGAGGTCAACTGTAATCTTGGCCACCTGCCTGGGAGGAACTGGCTGGCTTCACTTCTGACCTTCAGCAGCTGCCAGATGGCTTCTCGGAAATCCCCCTCTGTGGGGACGCCAACCCTTAGGTGACAGAGTGACAGCAAAAATGAAAACCGAGAGCCCTTTGCCAAGAAAAACAGCAGAAATACGAGCAGCTTTTCTCCCCCTCTAAATAAATTAGCAGTTTTAAAAGAAGTTGACATCGTTTTAAAGTAATTAAAAGTGGTTAAATAACTTAAATTGACTCTAAAATAGTTTCAAGAGTTTTAAAAGGCCCTTAAATAGTTGTGGTTAGCTGGGAAAGGCTCAGCCACAAAAACAAATCAGCCAACAATTCTAGAGATTATGGAATTAAAATAGCCAGCTTAAACATTTTTCTATCACTGAATTAAAGTGCTGGAAAATATGTTTATGCTAAATTTTTATTAGTCATATTTTTGTACAAAGAAAAGTAGCTTACCTAACCAGCTAAAATCATGTCACCAATTTATCTTATTTTAATCAGTTAATATGCCATACAATTTAATGGAATTTAATGAGTGTTCAAAGTAAATTTACCATGACTTGAATGGCGTATGAATGGTGTTAATTCAATTTCCCTGGAATTGATTTTACCTCCAAAGAATTACAGGCATTAAGATCTTTATATAACACTGGGTAAAACAGTTTTCTGCCTTTTATATTCCCCTAATGGGAAAATAAGGGAATACAATGATAAATACATTTTATCTCTGAGATCTCCAATAAGTCACCTTTCCCCACGTTAGTGTATTGTCTTTCCTCTACTGGCACTGTTCTTAGCACTATGCCCCAGGAAAGCGAACTGCACGGAGCGAAGGGTGCTACCGCAGCCTTCATGTGGCCCTTAGCGGCCACTCTGAATGGTTGGCAAGGCCGCGAAGCCATTCAGTCATAAAGAAGAGGCTACAGACCATTTCAGCCCCTTTTTGGCGGTATAAAAATACAAGCATATAATAACTGGGAAAACAAAGGTCCATATATCTTACAAAACCTTGGCCATTAAAAAAATATAATTTACTTTTTGAGCATTTGGACCCAACTGTATTTCTACTATAATTTACATTCACGTAGAAATGCGACAAAACACCAGCTGTCTATCAAGAAGCTGTTCCCATAGAGTCATTTTGACATTCTGTGAAATATTCTGGACTCTAAGAATCACATCTCTTCTGATTATTCAGTGAGCCACCTTTTCTACATGCCAAGCAGTCATGCTTTTAAACATTTTACTGATCTTTATTTCAGGGCCTGATATTGATTTTTATAGTTATAAAGAATTATGAGACAATAGAGGGCAAGCCGCTTAGGGTCCAGCTCACTCAATTGTGCTCTACCACATTTACTGTAAAACAACACAGTAGTGAGGAAACCCAATATAAATGAATTCATTTCTGTTCTCAGAGCTCCAAGGCCCTCTTTTCACCTGCAGTTTTCATCCTTTGAGTCCTTCAGCTCATCTCAATGAGAAACTTTGCTTCCACATCCATTTTTACAGCTGAACTTGACTTTAGCTCTTGTCCATCCTGAAATGCCCTCTTTTCTCCTCTGCCCAAATCTCCCACTTAAACATCTAGAAGTCAACACTACCAGCAGTGAGACCCAGGTCTCAGAAGAATATAGACAATAACGACTTATATTTAATCGCCAGTCTAATCTCCAGATGCTGACCACAGTATTAATTACCTTTTCCCTCAGCTAAAACCCCCTTTTTACCCCTAATCTCAATAGCTCAATAAACAGAAAATCTGACACTGTATGCCATGTTAACTGATGAGCCCCTTCCACTTTCTCAAGATGAACAGATTTCCTGCCACTCAGCTTCTTTTTGGAACTGACTTTAACTCCTAACATGACAATCTTACATGTAAAAGGAAGATGAGAAAAATGCACTTACGTTTGATTTCCAGCTTGGTGCCGCCACCGAACGTGAGCCACAGTGACGACTCTGACATGTCCCCCCTCAACAAAAACCTGCCTCTGAAGTCAATCCAACTAGACTTCAGAGGGAAAGCCCAACTCTTTCTTATCCACTCCCTTCACAAACCTACTCCCACAAGTCTAACATGAATTTCTTGGCTCCACTTTCCACTGGCTATTTTTCGGGGACTATTGATGTATATGGGTCACCAGGAATGACTCCTTTAGCCAAAATATCACAAACTAACATAGATGATACAACAGAATCAAAATGTCACAAATAATTGAGCAAAAATCTACTTACGTTTCATTTCCAATTTGGTCCCTGCGCCGAACGTGAATCACAGTGGTTCACGTCGATGCCCCCCTCTGTCAAAATCTGCCTCTGAAGCCAGTCCAATTAGACTTGCCAAATTCAGAGAAAAACTGTCTCTTTCCCCTTCCTCTCACAAATCCCACGTTTTCTCACAGAGCCAACGTGAGGCCAGTCTGTCTGTCCAGCTCCCATACTGACTATTTTCTGGTGCTCCTATTTAACTTTTGGACGACCTGGAACAGTTCATTTAACCCCAAACACCACAGACTCACACAAAAGACACAATGGGACCCAAACTTCACAAACAGTTGAGCAAAAATGTACTTACGTTTTATTTCCAGTTTGGTCCCTCTACCGAACGTGATTCACAGTGATTCACTTTAACTTCTCACTCTACAAAAACCTCCCTTGATAGGCAAGTATCCCTCTTCCCCCAACTTAGTTACATTGGTTTAGAAAGCCTAAAAATCAGTCACTAGCCAGCCTCTGGTGGAACAGTTCTCCCTCCCTAACACCTAATCTGAGACTTGAGTTTGTTACATCCCTGAAATCCCATTAAGGAAGGCACACAAAAAAGTACAAAGTAATCTGATTAGACACAGTGAAGAATTGGTTGAGAAGAATACTTACGTTTGATTTCCAGCTTGGTCCCAGCTCCAAACGTGTATACACACTGGTTTCCCTTCACTTCCCCCCAATACAAAAACTGAGTATTGCCTTCTGACCCCTGAGCAACACCTTGTCTAGAACTATCTTGTCTTAATTATTACACTGACATTTGCTCTTCAGAGAACATGTACAATCTATTCCCAGTTTTGCCTACAGTTATTATTTATCTTTGCCCCGGAGAATGCCAGAATCTGGTTTCAAAGTCAGATTTTTGTACATTACTTTTAGACACAGAGACCATGAGACATAGACAGTGCAGGAAAGAGAGTTGGGAGTCTACTTACGTTTGATTTCCAGCTTGGTCCCGGCTCCGAACGTCCACCACAGTGGTAGCCCTCCATTGTCTGGCTGTACAAAAACCCTCCTCACCGAAGAGGAACAGAGCCCTCGGTCAGCTGCTAAAGCTTACCCCCTTCTCCAAGCATGCGTGGAAGCTCGTTGGTTTCTCTGACAGAGAAATGCTCGTTTTCATAGGCGAGACTTGAATTTGTAGAAGATAACTTATTTTATTATATATAATATTATACATTTTGTCTCTTTCTTTAGCAGCCTACCACATAGGATTGCTTATTATTTATCCGTTTAAAAAATAAAGAAAAACAGGGCTGGAGAGGTGGCTCAGCAGTTAACAGCACTTGCTTTCTTCCCTAGGCCCTTAGTTCCCGGCACCCACATTAAGCAGCTACAACTGCCTAACTCCAGCTCCAAGGAATCTGATTCTGGCCTCAGTACTCACAAACTCATGACACTCACTCACACATAAAAGGTAATGTATATATAGATATGTCCATAGGTATACACACACACACATATATAAAATCAAGGCTCATATCTTTGACATGCACTTTGGAATTGAGTTATGGGTGACATATGAGGCAATGGCAACCATCAGTAAAGGAGAAAAATAAGCTTTTACTCTTGGATTGGTTTGTTGTTACAGGGCAGGTAGTGCTCAGGTGTCACAGAGATCAACCAAATTTATACTGCCTTTGGAGTTAGTGTCTCCATAAGAACCAATTAAAGACACTGAAGAATTTGCTTTGAGTGCCAGCTTCATTGACCTGTTTCCCTTGACCATCCATTCCCATCCTCTTCCAACCACCCTAATTCCTTAGAGTTCTACCATGGCCCCCAGCATTTGCAAAGCATCTTTCTTGCTTCTACCCTCCCTTAGGATAGCTCAGAAATAGCAGTCATTCAAGATTCAGCTCAAGAGATTCTTTCTATTAGTGAGTTGGCTTTACAGACAGGCCTATAGAACCTCTTTACTCTTAACTGATGTTGGATTCTCTCTTCCCTATTAGATGGTAAGCAGTTTGCTGTTTTATTAGCCAGATATTTGGGAACTTTGGTCTATTATATTTAACTGACAAGCACTCATCAGATATTTGCATAATAAATGAAAAAGGCAATTGAAAAGTCAACAATATAATCAGTGATGGTAATCTACAATATAGATGAAAGGTTAGTACAGATCACGACAACAACCAACTTTCCTAGAGAAATTACAAGTGTAACCAGATTAGAGAGACCAATTTGTTTTTGTTACTGGGAGTTTTGCTAATCTGGAATGGCAGATTCTACAATATTTTTCACCAGAAGATGCAGGAAGAAAACAATTGAGTTGGAAGTAGAGAGAAAACAGAAATTGTCAATAGAAGTGTGTAAAATAGCTGATGAACTCAACCAAAATGCATTCTAAAGAGGACAGAGAGTGATTTTCTCTGTAGTTATAGATGTGATATCAATCATAAAGATTGACATTTTTTGAGAACTTATAAAATGCCAGGTGTCACATATGGTTCACTGTATTTAGTCTTATATCTACAAGACTCTATGAACTAGAAATTAATATCGACTGTCTTATGGCATTGAAGGGCAGAGCTTGGATCTGAATCTGCTGCTCATGTGCTTAGCACTCTTACTGCAGGGTGGACACCAGCAACACAATCACCTGATGGAAGCAGCATGCATGTGGGAGAACACCGGAGTGGGAGGAAGGAAAACTCCTTAGGCTGTCCTGGGGGGAGGAAATGAGTGGCGAAGTGTGCCCAGACGTCTGTACAGATTGCATTGTTATTTAAAAGGTGAAAAAATACAAATACTAAATATCCATCAATAGGAATTTGCTTAAGCTAATTTTTGTAGAGAACAATGAACACAAATCAGTTGATAAGAGGAAAAATAGGTTTCTGGATATTTTCATGAGAAGGTGGGGCAGTGAATACTGTATATGGTCTGACACCATGAACCTTTTAAAATGGATCCTGAAGTATAGGCTTCTTCTAGAAGGTTACACAAGCTGTGCTCAACAGTTTCTCCTGGGACTGCTTAGAAAAACTGATGGACATTCTATTCTCTTGTCTATTTATATATGCCTTTATATTGCATATTATTTAACTGTTATATTCACTCATTTTATAATAATTCATTTCCTACATTTATTTTATAGTTGTCAGAAACAGTGAGACTATGCCACTCGGGGGGAAATGTAAATTCTGAGATTACCTCTTCTCTTTTTCTCTATTAATTTTTAAAAATATCTTTAAACAGAGTTCAAAAATGAGCCTCTTGCCGGGCGGTGGTGGCGCACGCCTTTAATCCCACCACTCGGGAGGCAGAGCCAGGCGGATCTCTGTGAGTTCGAGGCCAGCCTGGGCTACCAAGTGAGTTCCAGGAAAGGCGCAAAGCTACACAGAGAAACCCTGTCTTGAATAAAAAAAAAAAAAAATGAGCCTCTCTGGTTCTGTATAGGAGATAATTTTTTCCAAATACAGAATTGGGGACTGTAACATGGGAGTGGATTAGATGCGCTGGCAGTACAAGAGACACATTTCTGAGTAAACAAGATGTAGTTTGAACAGTACATGACTGCAGCAACAGATGATCGTTATGAAGCGGTGTTTGGCCACACAGTGGTAACTGATGGGTACGGGGCTGGGATCTCTATTCTAGTAAAAACAGATGACTGAGAAGTGGCTGAAATGTTTAATATGGGACTCATTACTTGCAGGCAAAGGATGTCTCAGGAGCATTTATGAGACTCTGCCAGGATTTATGATTCTACAGAGTGTCCAGGTTGGGCATGAGTTGATCTATGGAGGAAAGCCTAAGTGTCAATAAAACAACCTAGGTGGTTCCTGGACAATGCATGATGAGAATGATGGGAATAGAATTCTGAGGGAAGCATTCCAATAAACTCATCCTTAATGTTGCTTCCCATTTCAACCTCAGGAAAGTCAAATAAACTCTCAGAATAAATTTAAACCTGTTTGTGAAGAGAAAGGGAGATGGGGAGGAATAGGGAGAGAGCCAGTAAGTATAAAAACGTGTCTATAAATTATCCTAAACACAATTCACAAGCTATGTCAATAGCATTCCTTAGATATAACAATTCCAGAAACACGTTTTTTTTGTCAATATAAATAATTTTGCCACCATTAAACAGTCTTTTAAGGGAGATTCTTTTCATATTAGTAACACAGAAGATTACTCAACATGTCAGAAACAAACAATTTTGTTCTCTGCAGGTTTGAGGGGTGTTGGCTTCCCTACCTGGCAGCGGAATATCCACCTTGAAGTCTCTGGTTCACTATTTCCTTTTAAGTTTATCAGTCACGATAGAGTCCTAGATAGGCAATTCTTCATGCTCCAGCTGGACTTGACTTTGGATAATAAATTCACAGTGTTAAGAGGCGGGCTGGTCCCCTTGGCCAGGAAGGAGGGAGACAAAGGAGGTCACTTGAGAATGAAGTGCCTGTCTCTGCTTGTCCCTGAAGAAAGGCGAGTGGGCACAAGTCACGTCCTTTCCCACCATGTGCATGTGTGCAGGCCATCAACATGACCCCAAACTCTGGTCCCAGTCTGGAAAAATGCAGATGTGTCTCTGGTTTCCAGAAGGACATTAGGCTACAGCCATTTTACTTCCCATGAAAGAGAAAACAGCAACTGGGTCAGGGTTTACCAACCTCAGAGGGACTAAGCCACTGAAATTTACATATTGGCTGCTGTGGGTTCCAGCTCATCTTACAGGTGTGATAAGCTGAACTCTGAGCTCTCTGCCTTCCCCCATGCGTCTGCTACCGGCACATTGTGAGTGGTTGTTTTTGTCACTCTAGCTTTGCTCCCAAGGTGACATCACTTGGCACATATGTAGCACAAATCTTAAAAGGTCTTATTAATAAAAAAACTCGGGGCCAGGTATTGGGGTGAATGCTGAATGAATGATCAGAGAAACAGAACAAGCCACAGCCACCTCACCTTGCCAGTTCCTCAGCTGATCCTATTTCCTCAGATTGGAAACCTCTGTGTCCTCATCCGGAATGAATCTCAGCTGAACTGCTGCTAAAAGCCTAAAAGCTTAACCAGCTCTAGTTCCTGGTCCTCACACCTTAAATACCTTTCTGCTTCCTGCCATCACTTCCTGGGATTAAAGGCATGAGTCAGGCTTTAAACTCACAGAGATCTGGATGGATCTTTGCCTCCCAAGTGATAGGATTAAAGGCGTGTGTGCCACCATTTTCTGGCCTCTATATCTAGTGGCTGTTCTGTTCTCTGAACCCAGATAATTTTATTAGGGTGCACAATATTTTGGGGAACACAATATCACCACACACATATGTGTGTTATATTTGGATGGCCTCCTTTGCATAGATCATTGAGGAGGAAGGCGGTGAGCTAGCTGGTTTGGAGATGCTGTGTCCTGTCCATGGACTTGTATGGTTATTTGTACTATGCAGAAGGAGTGTAATACATTTCTTAGTGTAAGAGACAAGATCTGTACATAAACTTATTAAGCTAAGTAATATTCCCAGGGGAAAGCAGGCAGGAGTAACTAGGAATGGGAGCCTAGCTGCACCAGGCTGCTCTAGTGAGGGCAGTGGAAACCACCAGGGAAGCACTCCTGTTCATACATGTGCTCTGTAGAAACAGTCAGCTGGGTGGCCAAGGGTTGGGTGCATGATTGGCAGTGAAACATGGGAACTGAAGAAACTGAAGGAGAGT